AGGAGAGGAACTTCTGCCCGAATATCGACGAAGTTATCAAACTCTCAGATAAATCTCCAGTAGCTGCTGGGATTTCCGTCGAATGGTTTTAGCTCCAAGTTGGGTATGTCTATCGCCGGGTGACGTTACATAACGTTGACTGGATGAGGTTGAGGTACTTCGTGCATAAGCCTTATGGGTAAGCTTCCTTTCGCAGTGGTGGCGTGCTTAGTTTTGGTTGGTTAACTGACCTATTCTTCCATAAGCTTCATCGACTTTATCTCCTTTACTAATTCCTCAGCTTTACATCAACAAAAATCAGGAATCTTAACATCTGCATCACAATCTATGGCGCATAGACTCCTATCGCTAACATGACTAACTGAACTAGAAATGAGAGAATTTGGAACCTCTTTCCGAATTCCCCATTCACTTGCCACATTGACTCCTGTCCTTCCTCCTCGATCCGTCCTTGTTCAAACGACGTGTCCTTCTTCCAAGGTGGACGGTCTTTGCTTATTATGTTTCCCAAATAGATGAACGCAAAGGGTCGAAAAACGAATGACCATGAAAAATTCTACGGGACTACATCAACAGACGATCAAATGAGCAAATAAAATATGTACATACCACTAAAAGGATCTCAGAACAAATTAAAAGCAACAGCCAAATGTTACAGTGAGTGTAATTCAACAAATCTGAATGGAACAAATAAGTCTGGATAAGAATAGCACGCTCCTCGTCACGCTTAACTTGAACGAGTAAATATTAGCGCTCAGGTTATGACTAATACAAATAGGGGCCGGGTGAAGCACATACAAACAAAGTCAAATAATGGGATTGATGCGTAAACATACAAAGTAGGTGGAGCATTAAATGTGTACGTATGTATGCGGCGAACAGTGTTGAGCAAGTAAAGTATGAAATTCAAGAAATTGGATCAAAGGTGGTTTGTCTTGGCCTCATTGGAAGGATTTTTACAGATCGATAAATACAGCAGTTAATTATGTCTTCCCTGCTTACTTAAGGGTAATAGGGGTGTGGGGTGTGGGGTGTGACGTGAAGACGACGGGTGTACTTATAGAAGAACAGTGCACGTTGTGCCCGTTTAAGTATTAACCAGTAATTGCGCAATTTTTAAACTCTAGTTTTCGAATGGTGCATCTTCCTTAGCGTTTGAAAAGCTAGTCCATCAGCTTCTAGCCTTGTTACCATGTGCGCTGCATACAGTTGATACCGCCCATCGAGATGCCTACGGATGTGGCGGCAATAAGTTGTTTGGAGCTAGATCTAGAGAACATAGGGAAAGGTTCGCTCGTCGGCTGAAGTGAAGATTTGTTCAACATGTTCGGTTAGGTTATCAATGGACTGGTTCAGGGGAGGACTGNATCCTACCGTTTGTGGACGCTTTAGTTACGCGTTTCACTCCGTAATATAATCAAATAATAGGACGACGCGGTCACTCTTTCCGAGAGGAAAAAGGGGGTTTACCGCGTGAATCCGGTTGTCTTCGTTTGTTATTACTAAATCCAGCGGACGGAATGTCGTAGGTTGGTTTACGTTTTACGTCGAGGAGTTTTCTAATGCCAGAAGTCCATCAAACGAGCAGTCCGAAGAGTGTACTGTGAGACAAGCGATACGCGTAATCAGATGGTGGGTGTATGGATGCTTCTTGCATGCTTCACGGGCTTCGTGAAATATTCCTTTAGTTATTTATCTGTTTATATACAACCGGGAGTGGATATTTCCTCGTTTGGGACATTGCAGTTAGGCCAAGTCTCTGTAAGGGCAATAACTTGGGGCTGGTACTCTGTAGTAAGTTGCTTCAGTATCAGTAGTTTGTTTGAGACGCTAACATACATGCTAGAAACGCATTTAAGTATGCGCTCATCAACTGTTGCAGGTCTGACAGGGGTCAGGGAAGATCTGGGTGAGAGATAGGAAGGGACTTCGAGACGGTGCATTGCGTGTAAGCTGACCAGGTGATCGCATTGAGAGGTTGTTTAACCGCCAGTGGAGCATTATTTATGATGCTCTCTGAGGGTCGGCCTGTAGTCTCTCTCGCTCAAAATATTGCTTTCCTATTGGAGCTGCTTGGCTATGAAGGTAAGCAGCAAGAATGACCATTCATTAGGTTTAGGGGAGGGTGTCTCCTATCTACCTTAGACCACGTTCGCCCATACATGAGCATGTTCAAACCCGCCTTGTAACGAAGGGGAGGATTCCTGTGGACCCCTCGCCAGGGGTTAGATGGAGCCGGTGTATTGACTATGTAAGGTTTATTTTACTTTTTTCGTTTTAGAATCTTTCGTCTTTTTGTAGCGGAAGGCTGGATTGTAGTCGGATCTGGTTCTGTGAGACTGTTGTTTGCAGAACTGGCAGCCATCGGTTTAAAGCATACCACAGTCTCGTCTAAGGGTAAGCGGTCTGGGGAATTGGGTACAGATTGACGAGTATTTTAACCCAACCGAATAACTGAGACGAAGGTGCTTCTCGATAGTGCGGTTTTGCTAAAATCAACTTAGGGTCCTTTTGGTTTGGGATGCGAGAGTCTCACATGCAGAGTTTTATTTATGAAGGCACATTGTTCGCTGTCCTGCATTTTATTGCTGCATCCAGTATCTCTTGCTGCGAAAGTGTGGTGATCCAGACTTCGGTAACCGCAATCCATGCCGGATCAGATACAGTTTCATGTCATCCAATCACCCTTCAGGAAGCCCATGGTTCACCGCGCGAACATTACATCCGAGTTAGCACATATGATGCGTCGGCGCAAACGGTTGTGATTGAAGGACGGTCGTTCAACCAATGATATGGCCTATCACCTTCTATAAAATAAGCTATAATTCCATAAAGATGAGCATTTGCTGTTAGCATTTCCTCGTGTACTTCATTGGTGTCCGCAGTTCGGGTTGGAGCCATTCTAGTTCTGAGCAGTACATTACGGGTCCTCGTATTTATACATTCGGTACTACTCTACTTATCACAGAAAACCTTAGGGTTATGTTGGCAGTGCAAAGTTTTGGATAAGACCAGCGCTCGAAGGCTGGTGAGATGGTCACCGAAATTTTAGATCTCTTATTTCAGCAACCTGCTCGTGAATAATACCTAAAAGCTCTATCGAGGAGTGCGCCCGATTGAGGGTAATCTCATCCTAGCACATGGGTCTAGTGACTTCGTTTATTGACAAAAACAATGGCTGGAGGGTAGCATATCTAATACTTCAGTAAAAATGGTAGTTTATTTTATGAATTGAGAAAAGTGGTAGATATTGTGAGTGATAGTGCCTAGCAAAAAGTAGACAGCAAAAGCAAGGTCAAAACTGGAATGAACTGAACGTGCCCAATAATAAACATCGCTTACCATAATGCTCTAAATAGTTTCACTATTACAAGAATCTCCAATATCCAACACCATTACTGACGAAAACTGTGGAACTGGAGCTCCGAGATCAGGGTTCCTTACCAGTCGTAGTGTACTATTCGTTTAATTAAAGATTCATCTCATCCTGATGTCGCAGCACCAGGGGAACCACAGAGCTGAACGATGCGAGAAGCTGTACGAATTGGAATGCCACAGATACATCCTGTGAACCGACCTGAACTGACCTGATCGTCCACTCCGACTGAGCTTAGATGGAACCATCGAAATATAATTTTCTTGTTGACGTCTCCACGGCGAAATGGCATTTTTACTTCAAATGCATTAAGTGAAATTAAGTGACTTTTAGATGCATATGTTTTATTTTTACAACAGATGGTTTGTTTTAAATCACTTGGTCTTTCTGGCGGTGTTTTGTACGTTTCACGTTATGGAGAAGGCTGACCAGTCCGTTCAGGTTTTTGGCAGAAAAGTAAGTTAAGCTTGATATCAAACTTAAATAATGTCAGAAAACAGCGACAGCTGTTGCTCATTGCAAGTTGGGCTCGGGCAACATACGAGTAAATGGTCGACCCATAGCAGCTCTGGAACCCAAGCCCCTCATTCCCAAATTGATGGAACCCATCCTGCTCATCGGCCGAGATCGTTTCGCGCGTCTTGATATCCGAATCCGAGTTAGTGGTGGTGGACGAGTTGCTCAGATGTATGCCATCCGACAAGCTCTGGCCAAGTCGGTTGTCGCCTTCCATCAGAAATTCGTTGATGAAACATCGAAAAACATCATGAAGGACAAATTGGTTCAATATGACCGCAGCCTGTTGGTCGCTGATCCCCGACGTTGCGAACCCAAGAAGTTCGGCGGCCCTGGTGCTCGTGCTCGTTACCAGAAGTCATACCGTTGAGTGCATGTCAATATTGACAACAATAAATTGTGGTGTGTATACCGTTGTTTTGTCCGATTGACGCAAGGAGATGTGAGGTCTAGATTGTCCATTTATTACTGAATATTCTATACTGGATGTGGTTATATTGACAGCTTCAGAATGACGGGTTCCAGGTATCTAAACGCGCTGTCATTTCAAATTTAAATCGTTTGTTTGGCTCCGCTGCAGTAAAGGAAATCCTACGGGTTGTTGGCTGGACGTACATGTGGTTTCTAGTTCAACTGTGACGTAAATTGTGTTACCATTGCCCACAGGGGCTGTTGATCATCCGGTCGGACCACCCAATCGGAATGTTCCATAGGAAACTGATCAAGAGACAAATGTGCATCTCTTGTTTCCACTTGAGATTTCGCAACTGTTGATTTCATGGTGAGTGCAAGGGGCTTTGTGTCTTGGATTAGTACCCTAAACGGCGTGTCACACCTGGCTGCTTAAATAGCTGGAGTTCTGGTCAGTGTAGTTGAGAACCACTAAACAGGTGCAGTGATTTTGATTTTCCAAGCCGAATGTCACATGGGTTCATTAGTTTATCCTCTAGGAAATAAACTTATAGCTTCCCGACGCACGTTTCTCCAAATGGAATACTTGAGCAGTATATGAAGTTGCAAGCACCGTTGCATTTATCCCTGGGACAGCTGTCTTTTGGCAAGAGTGCCGTTACGGTGAGTCTTATTGCTTGTTGAGTTGAGAAGCGTCTCCGTTCCCTATGAAAGTTTTTAGGTATTGAGTTGATTTTGAGAAATGCGCACTCGCAGTCAGTTCATCCATTCTACTTACTGCTTACCAACTGGTTGCTTTATTCATGATGGAGCACTCGTGGTGTAAAGGCGTCCAAACTCTTGCTACTCTCTGGAGAAAGGGCTCGATGCCAACGACCGTAACCATGAAAGCGGTCCCGTTGGAGGAACGAATTGATTGCGAGAAATAACCGCGCTCTGCCTGGGAGAAGTTATGTCCTTTTGACCTCAGGCTAATGAATTAACACTTCGCCTTCGATCGCAACTGGTAACCGTGGTTGATCAGTCAGTGGACTACAGTCGGGCAGTTCTCCCAGGTCGTAGTTGAGCCAGATCCAACCTTGACGACATCCTCGTGTTCTAGGAGTACGAGATCAAGGACCGTCAATCGGGTGAGGCGGACGTCACTCGTGTGGAGTAGCATCAATGACATTTTCATGGAAAAAAACGGATTAAATGTGTCTGGAAGTGCCAACCGCTGAGAAATTGTTAAACCCTTCTGTGCTGAGGAACTAGGCTTCAATCAGTACCGCTCAACTTTTTTATTACACGAATTGGTTTGCAGCAAAAGGGGTGGACCATATGGTCCAGGAAATATTGTAGTAGGTCTGTGGAGGAAAACTCATTTAAGAACCAGTTAATGCTCTATTCTGTTCTGAAAAGAGGATTGTTATTGATTTGAAGTACTGAAATGCGAAGCGTGTTCCACATTTTGCAGTCGAGGGAAAGAGAGGACTGGAGGATGGAGGTCTGATATCTGGGGATAGAAACCGGATAGGTCGCTGCGTGCCTGAGAACAAGAAATTGATGGGACAAAAACTGCCGAAGCGAGTGAAAAATAGGAGAGACCAAGACCGTAACGGTAGAAAAGAGAGCTATGTGATAGCTTGAAGATGGATAGTAATAGAGACGGTTCTTTGATCAGTCGGACGTTGAGAAGAAAGCAAAAAACAAACCTAGTATGTGAGCTTCGGGTGTATTTAAGGTTGTTTTAAAAGGATATGAATAGGTGTCTGATGCTGATTAGAAACGGTTTTGCGCGACTAGAGGCATACTGAGAGATTGACAGGCAGAAGAAACTGTAAGACGACGACATCGAGAGAATTTGAGGAATTAAGAGGAAGTGAACCAAAAATCAGTTGAGCATAAGAAGCATTGCAACAAATATCTTTGGTTGAACCCCATGCAGAAACGAGGTCGGGGGAGAGATATGTGCTAAGGATGCTGCGACCGCGACCCACATTGGTAGTTTGACAATGGATGGGATAAGAAAGAGAGCAATCAAGTGTGGCATCGTCGGCTAAACGGTGAACGGGGCTCGAGATTTTGGACAAAAGACCGTTAGGCATTAAGAGGATGAGCACCAATATGGGTCCTTGGAGAATACCAGAATTCAAAAGAAGCGGCAGAGATAAGACCCCATCGGCTTGGATGGAGAAAGTTCGCTTGCTAAGGAGATGTGAGTCGGGTTATTTCGGCCGCAGACGAGTGCCAAACTCGGTTGAAGGCCTTAGAAATGTCGAGCGAGGTCAAATGAATCGAATGCAGTTTCTGCTTTTACAGACAATATTCAACCGCCTTCATGCGGCGGTTTTTGTTTCTTTCTTTTGCCCGCCCATCTGGGAGAGAGGGGTAGAGGGAAGATTAAAATGTTGGCGGCTATGTCCAAGAAGAAATAAAATACTGGTAGATTAAGGTTTCAAGGAATTGTGAACATGGACGAGCGCCACTGTTTGCGATACTACATCACTCACTGTCTCTAACTATGGGTTACGGCGATCCGAGTTCCCCAACCTGTGGCCCAAACACGACTTATAACAAATTCAGATGGTTACCAAAACCGTTTCATCTGGCTGAGTCGTAACAACAAAAGGCCCATCTGGACTCAGGTGGTAAATAGAGTGAGAGTAATGATTTGACGAGCAAAGAGAAAGCAAGGTTTTCATCATGACAGCACTACACAGTGACGTTGTTTAATGGCT